CGCTTAAGAGTTTCTTCCACCTCCTCAGGGAGCAACTGGGCGGGGGGAGGCGCATTGGCCCTCGGCTTCTTCGGCACCGCGTGGGGCGCACGCCCCTGGTCCCCCTCTGGGTCCCCGCGGGCATCTGCAGGGACTTGGGCGGGGAAAAATTGCCGCGGAGGTCCCAGGAAACTGGAAAGAAGGTCCCAGGTTCAGTCACAGAGTCGTATGCCTGTCAGCCCACCCAAGGCGTTACCAGGGGCCTGGGGGGAGGAGAAGGGCTCCTCTGCGGAGCAATAGGGTGAGAGCAGGTCTGTGGAATCAGGTTCTGGAGAGAAATGCCCGGCTTCGTCGGGGCCTTGAGGCGAGACTGTGGCCTCGGATGGAGCCAGAGCAGGAGCGGGAGCAGGTGCAGGGGGGACCGTGCCCTGGACGCCTTGCGCAGCATCGCAGCAGGCTTGGCTGTAGCTGGAGGCGCTGGCATCTGCTGATGCGAAGACCTGCAAGGGTCTGTGCAGAGGGAGGCTGCCGAAAGCCGGGCCCCCGTGGTGCACGTGGGCAGCGGGGAGCGCAGGGCTGGTGAGGAGCACAAAGCCGGCAGGGAGCACTGGACCCGCCGGGAGCACAGGACCGCCTGGGAACACAGGGCCGGCGGGGAGCCCAGGGCCTGCGGGGAGCACGGAGCCGGCTGGGAACACACGACCCGCCGGCAGCACACGACTGGCCGGGAACACAGGGCCAGCGGGGAGCCCAGGGCCTGCGGGGAACACTGGCTCCTCAGGGCGCACAGGAATGGCTGGCAGCACAGGGCTGGCAGGGAGCAAAGGGTCCTGCTGGGACGCAGGGCCTGCAAGGGAGGGCACAGGCGCGGGCTGAGGGGCGCAGGCTGCCAGTTCCTGGGGCGCAGCCTGGGCTCCCTGGCCTTGCTGCTTGCGCAGTCGCTGCAACCGTTGCTCCTTGGCCCTGCGGTTCTTGAGCCACACCCTCACTTGGTCCTCCTGCAGGTTCAGCCTGGCCGCCAGGGTCTCGCGTTCCTCATAGGTCCCGTAGGGTTTCCCCTCAAAGAATTCCTCCAGGACCCGCAGCTGTTGTGCGCTGAACACGGCGCGAGGCCGTCGCTGCCGCCACAGCCGCGTCCTCTTCCTCGGGGGGCTGGGGGACAACCGGGAGCCGGTGGGAAACGCGGGGTCTTGCATCCTGGATGCTCCTGGGCCCTCTGCGCTTGAGGCTCTGGCCACCAGCGCTGCGAGTGCCGCCTTAAATACCTGGTAGGCACTCGCCCCCCAGCGGTCCCAACCAATGGGGCTCGAGGCAGCGCTGTGCTCAGGCCCCGCCCCTTGTGCAGGTGAGTGCATGCTCTTTCGCGCGCCTGTGCCTAGGGGTGGGGTGGGGCGGGCGGGGCCCTCGGGGAGGCGCAATCATTGATTAGTCCTTTGACCAAGCAGCTGCCCGCGCCTGTCCTAGGGCCTGGCAGGCATAGTTGGCCAGACAGCCGTGGCCCTGCCCTCAAGAGGACTCGGGAGTGTGCTGTTCCCGAGGGGGCTTTGATTAGAATCCACGTGAGAGACGATGACCTGCGTGATGGAATGCCAAGGGAAACCACACTGTGAGATCTCCTTGCTAGCTTCAGCTCGCCACCTGAACTGCCTCTTCCCGTGTCACGGTGTCTTCTCCCCTAACTGGACATGATTTCTGCTTCCTGGGAGCACGTTGGTTTCCACGACAGTTGACGGCCTTGACGTCCACAAGGGATAACCCAACCGACTCCTTGGTTTGTAAACAGGGACTGGAGGCCCCCTGCTCCATGATGTCTAAAAGAGAAACAGGGTGTGTAACGAACCACACACACACACACACACACACACACAAAGAAAGTGTCTAGAACTCTGTCTCCTGGCCCACCTTAGCAGAGCCATAGAATGATGTCCCACCAAGATTTTTTCCGTGAGAGCCCTTCATATGCCCGAATGAACTTGCCTGAGCAGGGTCGCATCATGCAGAGGTGCGGAGAGCTCTCATTCTCATGGCATGGCGGGCGCAGGGGTAGGGTTCTGGACATGTTCTGAAGTCGTCCAGGTGAAGGAGGGCTCCTCGGATGGGGGTGGGGTGGGCAGGGGTTCTGAGAGGGATTCTGAGAGGGGCACTGAGGCTGCCGAAGGACCACAAGGGCGGGGCACCTTTGGAGGTTGAATCCCTACGGGCTTTTAGTGCCCCTTAGGCTGGGGGTGACTTTGACTGTGAGAGGGGGGATTAGGCAGGGACCTAGAGGTGGAGCCCAGACTACAGTCATTTCAAGGAACATCAGACTCCACTCTCCTCTCAGGGACCTGAGCTTTGTGGCACAACCATGATGCCAAACATGATCTGACGTGATCAGAAATGAAACCCAATCCCAAGCACGACATAGTGTGCAGAATTTTATTAGTATGTGGTTAAAAGAATATGCAGCGGAATTGTATTAATCATTTCATACAGCATAATACATCAAATAAAATAAAATGAAATAAATTAAAATAGTTAAAATACCCCCCACACCCCAACAAGATGTGATGCGTCTTCCCGGTGTTCAATGATGCCGCCGCGAGAAGGGGGTGAATCCTCCGAGTCCAGGGAATGCGATGGGAAAAGCAGCAGGAAGCCGGGAGTCGCGGATGTGCACACTCCGAAAGTTGGCCCAGTCCTACTGGCGCCAGAGCCCGCTGCCAGGAGGAGCGGGGAGGCTGGGCTGGGTCCTTGGGAAGGTTGTGGGCAGCAGCTCTCCAGCGAGTCCCGCACCAGCAGCAGCTATTGCGCTGCCAGCGCCGGGAAGCGGCAGCGAGGTCACGTGCGCCCTAATGGGCTCAGCCGGGACCGCGGACGCAGCAGCCCAGGCCCGCCGCCACGCGCATGCGCAGTGGCCACCACAGCGTGTTGGCGGCAGGGGGGCGGGGTGCAGAGCCCAGGCCAACTCCCCAGGGTGGACGCTTAGAGGTTCTCCAGCTCTGCAGGGAGCAACTGGCGGCGGAGGCGCACTGACCTGCGCTCCTCGCACCCGCGTGGGCGCACGCCCTGGTCCCCTCTGGTCCCGCGGCATCTGCAGGACTTGGCGGGGACACACTCCCGCGGAGGTCCAGGAACTGGAAGAGGTCCAGGTCAGTCACAGAGTCGTATGCTGTCAGCCACCAAGGCGTACCAGGGCCTGGGGGAGGAGAAGGGCTCCTCTGCGGAGCAATAGGGTGAGAGCAGGTCTGTGGAATCAGGTTCTGGAGAGAAATGCCCGGCTTCGTCGGGGCCTTGAGGCGAGACTGTGGCCTCGGATGGAGCCAGAGCAGGAGCGGGAGCAGGTGCAGGGGGGACCGTGCCCTGGACGCCTTGCGCAGCATCGCAGCAGGCTTGGCTGTAGCTGGAGGCGCTGGCATCTGCTGATGCGAAGACCTGCAAGGGTCTGTGCAGAGGGAGGCTGCCGAAAGCCGGGCCCCCGTGGTGCACGTGGGCAGCGGGGAGCGCAGGGCTGGTGGGGAGCACAGGGCCAGCGAGGAGCACAAAGCCGGCAGGGAGCACTGGACCCGCCGGGAGCACAGGACCGCCTGGGAACACAGGGCCGGCGGGGAGCCCAGGGCCTGCGGGGAGCACGGAGCCGGCTGGGAACACACGACCCGCCGGCAGCACACGACTGGCCGGGAACACAGGGCCAGCGGGGAGCCCAGGGCCTGCGGGGAACACTGGCTCCTCAGGGCGCACAGGAATGGCTGGCAGCACAGGGCTGGCAGGGAGCAAAGGGTCCTGCTGGGACGCAGGGCCTGCAAGGGAGGGCACAGGCGCGGGCTGAGGGGCGCAGGCTGCCAGTTCCTGGGGCGCAGCCTGGGCTCCCTGGCCTTGCTGCTTGCGCAGTCGCTGCAACCGTTGCTCCTTGGCCCTGCGGTTCTTGAGCCACACCCTCACTTGGTCCTCCTGCAGGTTCAGCCTGGCCGCCAGGGTCTCGCGTTCCTCATAGGTCCCGTAGGGTTTCCCCTCAAAGAATTCCTCCAGGACCCGCAGCTGTTGTGCGCTGAACACGGCGCGAGGCCGTCGCTGCCGCCACAGCCGCGTCCTCTTCCTCGGGGGGCTGGGGGACAACCGGGAGCCGGTGGGAAACGCGGGGTCTTGCATCCTGGATGCTCCTGGGCCCTCTGCGCTTGAGGCTCTGGCCACCAGCGCTGCGAGTGCCGCCTTAAATACCTGGTAGGCACTCGCCCCCCAGCGGTCCCAACCAATGGGGCTCGAGGCAGCGCTGTGCTCAGGCCCCGCCCCTTGTGCAGGTGAGTGCATGCTCTTTCGCGCGCCTGTGCCTAGGGGTGGGGTGGGGCGGGCGGGGCCCTCGGGGAGGCGCAATCATTGATTAGTCCTTTGACCAAGCAGCTGCCCGCGCCTGTCCTAGGGCCTGGCAGGCATAGTTGGCCAGACAGCCGTGGCCCTGCCCTCAAGAGGACTCGGGAGTGTGCTGTTCCCGAGGGGGCTTTGATTAGAATCCACGTGAGAGACGATGACCTGCGTGATGGAATGCCAAGGGAAACCACACTGTGAGATCTCCTTGCTAGCTTCAGCTCGCCACCTGAACTGCCTCTTCCCGTGTCACGGTGTCTTCTCCCCTAACTGGACATGATTTCTGCTTCCTGGGAGCACGTTGGTTTCCACGACAGTTGACGGCCTTGACGTCCACAAGGGATAACCCAACCGACTCCTTGGTTTGTAAACAGGGACTGGAGGCCCCCTGCTCCATGATGTCTAAAAGAGAAACAGGGTGTGTAACGAACCACACACACACACACACACACACACACAAAGAAAGTGTCTAGAACTCTGTCTCCTGGCCCACCTTAGCAGAGCCATAGAATGATGTCCCACCAAGATTTTTTCCGTGAGAGCCCTTCATATGCCCGAATGAACTTGCCTGAGCAGGGTCGCATCATGCAGAGGTGCGGAGAGCTCTCATTCTCATGGCATGGCGGGCGCAGGGGTAGGGTTCTGGACATGTTCTGAAGTCGTCCAGGTGAAGGAGGGCTCCTCGGATGGGGGTGGGGTGGGCAGGGGTTCTGAGAGGGATTCTGAGAGGGGCACTGAGGCTGCCGAAGGACCACAAGGGCGGGGCACCTTTGGAGGTTGAATCCCTACGGGCTTTTAGTGCCCCTTAGGCTGGGGGTGACTTTGACTGTGAGAGGGGGGATTAGGCAGGGACCTAGAGGTGGAGCCCAGACTACAGTCATTTCAAGGAACATCAGACTCCACTCTCCTCTCAGGGACCTGAGCTTTGTGGCACAACCATGATGCCAAACATGATCTGACGTGATCAGAAATGAAACCCAATCCCAAGCACGACATAGTGTGCAGAATTTTATTAGTATGTGGTTAAAAGAATATGCAGCGGAATTGAATTAATCATTTCATACAGCATAATACATCAAATAAAATAAAATGAAATAAATTAAAATAGTTAAAATACCCCCCACACCCCAACAAGATGTGATGCGTCTTCCCGGTGTTCAATGATGCCGCCGCGAGAAGGGGGTGAATCCTCCGAGTCCAGGGAATGCGATGGGAAAAGCAGCAGGAAGCCGGGAGTCGCGGATGTGCACACTCCGAAAGTTGGCCCAGTCCTACTGGCGCCAGAGCCCGCTGCCAGGAGGAGCGGGGAGGCTGGGCTGGGTCCTTGGGAAGGTTGTGGGCAGCAGCTCTCCAGCGAGTCCCGCACCAGCAGCAGCTATTGCGCTGCCAGCGCCGGGAAGCGGCAGCGAGGTCACGTGCGCCCTAATGGGCTCAGCCGGGACCGCGGACGCAGCAGCCCAGGCCCGCCGCCACGCGCATGCGCAGTGGCCACCACAGCGTGTTGGCGGCAGGGGGGCGGGGTGCAGAGCCCAGGCCAACTCCCCAGGGTGGACGCTTAGAGGTTCTCCAGCTCTGCAGGGAGCAACTGGCGGCGGAGGCGCACTGACCTGCGCTCCTCGCACCCGCGTGGGCGCACGCCCTGGTCCCCTCTGGTCCCGCGGCATCTGCAGGACTTGGCGGGGACACACTCCCGCGGAGGTCCAGGAACTGGAAGAGGTCCAGGTCAGTCACAGAGTCGTATGCTGTCAGCCACCAAGGCGTACCAGGGCCTGGGGGAGGAGAAGGGCTCCTCTGCGGAGCAATAGGGTGAGAGCAGGTCTGTGGAATCAGGTTCTGGAGAGAAATGCCCGGCTTCGTCGGGGCCTTGAGGCGAGACTGTGGCCTCGGATGGAGCCAGAGCAGGAGCGGGAGCAGGTGCAGGGGGGACCGTGCCCTGGACGCCTTGCGCAGCATCGCAGCAGGCTTGGCTGTAGCTGGAGGCGCTGGCATCTGCTGATGCGAAGACCTGCAAGGGTCTGTGCAGAGGGAGGCTGCCGAAAGCCGGGCCCCCGTGGTGCACGTGGGCAGCGGGGAGCGCAGGGCAGCGGGGAGCGCAGGGCTGGTGGGGAGCACAGGGCCAGCAGGGAGCACTGGACCCGCCGGGAGCACAGGACCGCCTGGGAACACAGGGCCGGCGGGGAGCCCAGGGCCTGCGGGGAGCACGGAGCCGGCTGGGAACACACGACCCGCCGGCAGCACACGACTGGCCGGGAACACAGGGCCAGCGGGGAGCCCAGGGCCTGCGGGGAACACTGGCTCCTCAGGGCGCACAGGAATGGCTGGCAGCACAGGGCTGGCAGGGAGCAAAGGGTCCTGCTGGGACGCAGGGCCTGCAAGGGAGGGCACAGGCGCGGGCTGAGGGGCGCAGGCTGCCAGTTCCTGGGGCGCAGCCTGGGCTCCCTGGCCTTGCTGCTTGCGCAGTCGCTGCAACCGTTGCTCCTTGGCCCTGCGGTTCTTGAGCCACACCCTCACTTGGTCCTCCTGCAGGTTCAGCCTGGCCGCCAGGGTCTCGCGTTCCTCATAGGTCCCGTAGGGTTTCCCCTCAAAGAATTCCTCCAGGACCCGCAGCTGTTGTGCGCTGAACACGGCGCGAGGCCGTCGCTGCCGCCACAGCCGCGTCCTCTTCCTCGGGGGGCTGGGGGACAACCGGGAGCCGGTGGGAAACGCGGGGTCTTGCATCCTGGATGCTCCTGGGCCCTCTGCGCTTGAGGCTCTGGCCACCAGCGCTGCGAGTGCCGCCTTAAATACCTGGTAGGCACTCGCCCCCCAGCGGTCCCAACCAATGGGGCTCGAGGCAGCGCTGTGCTCAGGCCCCGCCCCTTGTGCAGGTGAGTGCATGCTCTTTCGCGCGCCTGTGCCTAGGGGTGGGGTGGGGCGGGCGGGGCCCTCGGGGAGGCGCAATCATTGATTAGTCCTTTGACCAAGCAGCTGCCCGCGCCTGTCCTAGGGCCTGGCAGGCATAGTTGGCCAGACAGCCGTGGCCCTGCCCTCAAGAGGACTCGGGAGTGTGCTGTTCCCGAGGGGGCTTTGATTAGAATCCACGTGAGAGACGATGACCTGCGTGATGGAATGCCAAGGGAAACCACACTGTGAGATCTCCTTGCTAGCTTCAGCTCGCCACCTGAACTGCCTCTTCCCGTGTCACGGTGTCTTCTCCCCTAACTGGACATGATTTCTGCTTCCTGGGAGCACGTTGGTTTCCACGACAGTTGACGGCCTTGACGTCCACAAGGGATAACCCAACCGACTCCTGGTTTGTAAATAGGACTGGAAGTCCCCTGCTCCATGATGTCTAAAGAGAAACAGGGTGTGTACGAAGCACTCTAATTAGTTACACTATTCTCTCGCCCAAAAAAAATTTAATAACTTTGTCGTCCTGTTTCGTACAAAGAGTAATGTTGCTGTTATCACAATTTTTTTCACATAGACAAGTTCGAAAA